TGAAAAGGTCTTGAGAAACTTTCGATCAGAAAGTTATTCGCGTGAATAGAAATAAAGTGTAAGCTGAAAAGCCTTGGATCACTGGCTAACTATATTTGGAGAACAAGATCGCTACAAATGCAAGGACAATAAGCGCGTGGTCGATCTGATTGCATTACATCATCGTGGAGTTGTGCCGGTATTGATTATGTTAATATCGAGGATATCAATTTTCATATGTAAGAATAATGCACGAACAACAAAACAGAGATGTTTTACATCTTACAAAAAATATTTAATAAAAATCCAGTGGAAATTTATTGAGCCAACAGTTTTTCAGAGATTTCAACTAGAAGAAGTTACATATTGTTACACATCAAGAACAAACTAATTCTGGAGTTCCCTCAACGCAATTATTGTTTCGCGTGCGCATCATACAGACGAGTTATTTCCAGATGCAATACTGTATGCCCCACCCTGAAAACTTCTCCAGCGGCGATCGTCGCGATTTTACCGCTTTCTTTACGCGAGATCCGGCCGTCTGTGACCAATTTTAGAAAAAGTGAACGGTCGAGTGGCACAAGCGCATGGCAACTTCTCATCCTTCCTTGCCATCATCTCTGCCATATAAAAGAACGTCTACCTACGAATTGAACAGCTCGGTGATAATCAATATGTCACAATTATTACTGTCTTATTCTCAGAATTCTTTTCGCAATAACATTCCGATTTTTAGGGAAATTACCAATTCGTCCTCAGAAATGGTACCTAAACCATATGGCCACTTACGTAATTGCACGGATAATCAATATTTCTTTTTGTTCCTCCGAGTTTATATAATGGATTAAAAAAAAGAAAAAAAAAAAATGTAAGTTTATGGTTACGTCTAGTTAGCTATCTATATTTTAAAAAATGGTCAAACGATTGGTAAAAAAAATATTTTTTCAGTAAGGAATATTTCCATTTGACTTACGTGATTTTTAAAAATATTTGCACATGCAGTCAACTTCCAAATAGAAATTGTCCGACGCAGTGTCTATTCTTAACCAATGGACAAGTTCAACGCCCATGTCCAAACGCCGTGGTTTTGCAACTAAGAATAAATGTCGCGTCCTTTTTTACATTGCTACGTTGCATCCTTCGCCACGTGGCAGTGCAAATTTAAATATAGCAAAATATACAACAATGGTCGAATTTTAAAAAAATTATTTATGACATTCGGATACTTTTTTAAGTAATATTGAAAAAATAATAATAATTTAAATATATAGCAAAATATATAAATGGTCGAATTTTAAAAAAAATTATTTATGATTACATTCGGATACTTTTTTAAGTAATATTGAAAAAATAATAATAATTTGCGATATTGTGTTGCAAGAGTAACGCAAGTGCTGCTTTACAACTTTCTCTCGTGCATCTCTCCAACACGTGAAATCCTGACGACAATCTCTCCGTGACACACTATGATCGAGAAAAATCGATTCATAACTGTGTAATATTTGCTCTTTGACCAAAAATTTTCATTTTCAGAGAAAGTGGTGCTCGATAAAATTGCCAGTTGTAACTGCAATCATGCGTGAAGCATTAAACGTTTGCAAGATTTAATCTTTTAATTCTACAATAACAACTTTATGTAAAAAAATGTTCTACTTATAATACATAGCAATTAGCCTTAGAATTACCTTGATTATATAGTCTGACGTGTTTCAACTTTTCTAACTGTCCTCCTATTTATTACACTTGATGAGAACAACATACAAATGTGTAGCATAATGAGGCCAAGATACATTATACATATATATATATAATCGTATGTGCAATCGTACATATGTATAAAATGAATAAAAAAGGCGTGTATCCTAGCATTTGCTAGTATTTTCTATCATAATTAGTTATAACACGAGACTGTCATTTTTAAAAATAAATTTAATATATGTATAATTTAGTAATATTTTAACAAACTTAATAAAGTTTGCTGAGACGTTTAAAAATAATCGTTAAGATGGTTGGGCTGTGTTCTATTCTACGATGCGTTTGTTTCATACTTGAGTAAATTAGTTTTTCCAGTATTATAAATATTTTCTCGGGAATCAATCGCTATCGAGTCAATGAACAGGTCATTATGTGCCAATTTCCTTGCTGTGCCCCGTCGAAATTTGTAAAATCAATAAAATAAATGTCGCATGACAGGAGACTGGGTACTATATCTTGGACGTAGAAAACATGCGTAAAGGCGTTGTGGCGTGCTGCGGTCTTTCGCTGGCCAATCAGAAACACGGGTGATGTCACTAGCGACCAATGATTGTGCGCCAAAAGAGTCGATAGTCAGGGGTATAAGATCCCGTGGTAAGCGTCCCTCGCGCATTAATCGTTTGGTGTTCAGACGCGTTGTGTGTGGTTGATAGCAGAAGCTCCATTACTTGCTCTAATTATCGACTACCCACTTTCTACAAGAACGTAAAACGAATCCCTAGACTTCAAAATGGTAAGCACACATTTGTCTGTGACATTCTGTACGTTAGAGACATATGAGAAATATCGATTACGTCGATGGTTATGGATATTATACGTGGGAAGAGGACTTGGTTACGACGCTTGCACCGGCCGGCTCCGCCCTTTTCGTTATGACTCATATTTAGCATCTAGATATCGTTAAAATAGTTAAAATAGTCGAAATATTTATTCCCGAGATATCATAACTCTGCTCGCGTAAAGCATAATTTGCAAAATATTATTATTTGGTCATGGTATGTACATAGATACAAAAAAAGTGAAAATTGTGAATTTCGCTGTTTCGCGTCCATCGAAACTAGTGGAGAAGTACGCGTCATTTTAAGTGATGCGATCGATATTTCGTAAATGATGTCTACCAAATATCGTTTATAGAGGAAATATTTTAAATGTTATTGAACTTAAGTATTATATGTTCTATAATTTGACAAAAAAATATTTGTAGAAAAAAGAATTTTAATGATATATTATTAATATTATTTGATAAATCAAGACTACATTATAAATTTATTGGAATTTTTTCAGCGTGAATGTATCTCAATCCACGTTGGCCAGGCTGGAGTCCAAATTGGTAATGCCTGCTGGGAATTATATTGTCTGGAACATGGCATTCAGCCTGATGGTCAGATGCCATCAGACAAGACCATTGGAGGAGGTGATGACAGTTTCAATACTTTCTTCAGTGAAACCGGTGCAGGAAAACATGTTCCCAGAGCAGTTTTCATCGACTTAGAGCCCACAGTAGTCGGTATGTAATTATTATATATGCATATTATCAATTTACATATTTTGAGAATTAATTATTGATATTCTTTGTAATGTAAATTCTTGTTGCAGACGAGGTTCGTACAGGCACTTATCGTCAGCTCTTCCATCCAGAACAACTGATCACAGGCAAAGAAGATGCAGCAAACAATTATGCTCGTGGTCACTACACAATTGGCAAAGAAATTGTCGACCTTGTTTTAGACCGTATTCGTAAACTCGCAGATCAATGTACTGGACTCCAAGGTTTTCTCATTTTCCATTCTTTCGGAGGCGGCACTGGCTCTGGTTTCACGTCATTGTTGATGGAACGTTTGTCCGTGGATTATGGAAAGAAGTCAAAGCTGGAATTTGCTATTTACCCAGCCCCTCAAGTTTCCACTGCTGTAGTCGAGCCCTATAATTCAATTCTCACCACCCATACCACTTTAGAACATTCCGATTGTGCATTTATGGTCGACAACGAGGCTATTTACGATATTTGTCGCCGAAATTTGGACATCGAAAGACCAACGTACACAAATCTCAACCGATTGATTGGTCAAATTGTATCATCGATCACTGCCTCGCTTCGTTTCGATGGCGCTCTTAACGTCGATCTGACGGAATTCCAGACTAACTTAGTACCTTATCCAAGAATTCATTTCCCACTGGTTACTTACGCCCCGGTTATCTCTGCTGAGAAGGCGTATCACGAACAACTTTCCGTAGCTGAAATCACAAATGCTTGCTTCGAGCCGGCTAACCAAATGGTCAAATGCGATCCACGACACGGCAAGTATATGGCGTGCTGCATGCTGTACAGAGGTGATGTTGTACCCAAAGACGTTAATGCAGCTATTGCAACTATCAAGACGAAACGTACTATTCAATTTGTCGATTGGTGTCCAACTGGATTCAAAGTCGGCATTAACTATCAGCCACCTACCGTTGTACCAGGTGGAGATCTTGCTAAAGTACAACGAGCTGTCTGCATGTTGTCCAATACTACTGCTATCGCAGAAGCTTGGGCTCGCCTTGACCATAAATTCGACTTAATGTACGCCAAGAGAGCATTTGTACACTGGTACGTCGGCGAAGGTATGGAGGAAGGCGAGTTCTCTGAAGCGCGTGAAGATCTTGCCGCTTTGGAGAAAGATTACGAAGAGGTTGGTATGGATTCCGCAGAGGGTGAGGGAGAGGGAGCCGAAGAATATTAAACTGATTTTCGTCGAGATTTTTCAATGACGTACAATTCAAAATAAACGAATTGATTTGCAACTGTTTCGTGCATTTACCTGCCCTTTTTACACTTTCCTCAGTAGTTTAATTATTTTCATCAACTTAATTGGAATTGAGTAGTCTATTTATGTTACACAAGGTTAGATTTATTTAAAAAATTTTTAAAAATCTAGTTTTAAGTTGCTGAAAGCTCCAATTAGTTTTAATATTTAGAAGTAAAAAGTACTTGATATTTATGTACTCTATCGCTTCAAATATGTTCAAATATTAGAGATATTAAAGAACTATAAAAATTACAAAGTTATTTATATTGAAAGTATGTTGTTATAAATTTATATGTTTGTACAGAAAGATTACGACTGTGCCAAGAACAGGTGATATGTTGAAATATAAGAACACGGAAATTTGTGGTTTACATGCATTGTCAGCGTGTGTTAATGAACAAATATACCAAGATTTTGTTTAACGTTTCATTTATTTCATGCATAATTTGTGACGTTACATAATTTGTTTACAATGAAAAGATGCTGTATTAAATACAAAAACATCGAGATTTCAAAAGTGAAAGAAGTAAGAAAATTAATGTTATAAAAATATTGCTCTCGCAATGTATTTTATTTTATTTGATGTCGTTCAACTGTTGTAGGTTAACGACATATTGTTTTACATTTTTCATTTTTTCTACGCTTTGTTTATATATAAAAAATCTTTATATTCGAATAATTTAAATGTGTCATTTGTCATGGTTCAACACAAACTCGATGAAAATATGTAGGTATTAAAAATACACATGCACACATGTGACACGTACGCAATGCATGGTATTTTGTCTAATAATTTATCGTGTCTATTTCAACTTTCTTGTTGCGAATACGAGAATATCTCTCCTAATTCTATCCCAGTTTAGTTTCTTACGCATCAGTTCATCTCGCTTTATTCCGGCAACAAGAATAGATATCTTACTAAGAATCCGCCATGAGTCGAGCTCTTTACACATATCGCGAACACGCATGCGCAGTACGACAGTGCACGTTGGTGCATGTCGGTGTGCACAGTGGTGTGTAAGGCGGTATTTTGTTAAAAAAAAACTGGCGGTCTCGTTGGGTTAAAAATTTTGCAAATGTTATCGACAAGTAATTAACAGTGCGCCCAAATGGATCGCCTGTCCATTCATCGTCGCGACGAGTAATATGAGTGAGTGAGCATGAATGCAACATTACTAAAAGTTTTCAGTAACGTTTCCCTTGGGAAAGAATGTAAAAACCATGGCTGGAAATATCGATACGATATTACGATCGATGCATCGAAACTGAGCTGATGGTATGATGAAATAAGACAATAAAGATTAAATAAACATTATTTGAAATCCATTTGTCCGATGCCTCGGGTCAGGTGTATCGATATTTTTTTTACATTGATATATTGTTTGCATACCTACTTGCAAGGCAAGAAGCTGTGCCTTGAATGTATGCAGTGGAGTACAGCCCCTCCAACTCGAGTTCTCGTTGCAACGTTCTCCGGTTTCTTCAATAACATTTTTTCCCTTACGGTGCTGAATAATACATTTAAACAGAAACCATTTCAAAGAATGCTAACTTTATTTCATGACTGCTCACGATAAGAATGAGTGAGTATATGGACGGTTTGAACGACTTTGTGTACTCTTGTGTGCTTATCTTGTAAAACTTAAGCCGGAGCGTAATGAGACTCTTGTATTTCTGATAAAATATACACACTTGAACGGTTTACCTGTATGAATTGCATATGTATACAGTGTGTATATTACACCTTCAAATGTGTACCTGCACGTGTATTTGACTAATGTGTTCGAGATAATTCAGGTAGAAAAGATTACATATATACGTCGTGTTGCGTCTAACGCATTGAGAATGAATTTTTTTTGTAATTTAAGAATCCAGTGAACAGTACAATAAATTCGGTGACGTAGATATTTTTTATATTTTCGTGTATGTGAAATGTAAGTACGTAGTAGATAAATTATGTGGAAGATGTCTGACAGTTTTGAAATAGAGAACAGTATCCCTGTGAACAGAAGTCTGGAGGTTATATTCTTAACTCTCTTGTTTCTTTGTAAATTTAGTTATAAATAGGCACAGCTATTTTCATAAATAAAAAAGGATATATAAAAATACTTTATATATATTACATTCATTAAACTTTTCCCAGTATTATCACGATTTAGAATAGTGTAAAATGGACATGTAATTCCAACTGATTTTTATTGACATTTGAAATATATTTAGTATTCTTGATTTTGACTTGTTTTTATGTCATATCTAAAGTATAAATATCTATGTTAATGCTATTCTGTTTTGTATACTTTCAGTTCTTATGTCTTTAAGGTTAAAGAATTATCATTTTATTTAATAAAGTGCTTATAAATGTAGTGTAATTAGGATTTTATGCTTAATAGTTATTATCTATTAATTCCTGTGGTTTATGCATAATAAATATTAATAAATGCTTTTTTTATTTTAAAATTATAGACTACTGCCACACCATGAAGATGAGTTTTTCTTTATCTTCGCTTCAACCGCTAGGCCATGGCTTAGAAAAGCATGGCCAAGCGGGAATAGCGATTGAAAGGCCATACAACAGTCTCACAAAAAAGAGGTTTGTATAATCTTTTATATTTTTTGTTGTTAACGTCTTTTTTTGGTTTACGTTATTTGTAACATGTTCATTACTGTTTATCTTATAGGAAAGATCCAAAACAATTTCACAATCAACGTTTATGGACAAATCGTGAGGATTGCAAAGATGAATTTTGGGCAGCAATACGATCTAACTATGATTACATTATGGACACCAATTTGATAGATAGTTGTAGAGTGTGTATTTCATATTTATAATGTAATAAGATAAAGTACATATGATGTATATTATATTTATGCTTTAATATCTCATTAATAGGAAGCTAATGGTGAATTAACGTGGGATGAGACTGACGTATCTACACAATCATGGAGTTTTAAGGAAGTTAGTAGTCAATTTTCAGAATTATATTCGTGGCTGAGGGTTCTGCAAGAATTGGTTTACTGCAAAGAGGAAAATTTATTGGATAAAAGCCTGCGTGCGGTATGTAAGCTTTAAGAACAGCACTATATTTTTTATGAGAGATTTTTATGATAGATTAAATAATTTTAAAATATAAATTTAAGGCTCACATGGAGGAGCTGCGACGTAGGGCATATAGAAGAAAGTTGTTTAATGAACAGGCTGGAAAATTAGTGTCACGTGCCCCTGCTTTAAAAGATGAAGTAGCGTGGCGTGTTGACCATTTAAATGCAAAATGGGAATTAGTTGAACAAATTATGGCACCTGTTGAGCGACCTGTATCTAATCAACAGGATATATCGGCAGGTAATATTCTTGTGAAAATAAGAACTTTCTAATGTCACGTGGAAATCCAAAAATTGTAGGTCCAAAATTTTTTAATGAAAATTTACATTATAGATTTTGAACATGAAGTAAAATGTTTGAGGAAATGGCTCCGCGAAATGGAATCCCGCCTTCAACCTTTGAGCTTTCATGTAGATTGGACGTTAGCAGAGCTCGAGGAAAAAGCAGTGGAGCATATGGTGAGTAACATAAAAATAGTAATTATATAATATAATTATTAAATATAAAACAGTTATATAGCATCGGGTAATATATTATACGTAATATACATAAATATTTATTTAAAACGTCGATAAAAAATTTTTGTGTCGAAGCAAATAAAAATAGAGTTCAGTAATCCTTAAATTAGGGTTACCAGTATATCCAAGCAGCAAGCACAGCGCGAACTGCGCGTTGTATTGCACGTCATTAACACGCTAAATCAATATTACGAATATGTCGTTTCCGTTTATAAGCCGGATATAACTCTTTATTGTTAACGGAAACAGTCGACAACGCACACTTAAGCAGGCGTGTAGGATAAATGTTGGTAATAGTAAGTAATTACGTTCAGTATGCTTGAAACATACATACCGGACGCAAATTTATCAAAAGCAATTTTTGAGAAAGCGAACGAAGCTTATTTTTGAAGCAATCACAATGATTAATTAATTGATAATTAATACCTGGAATTCTCGTTGCAATTTCTTGTCAATAATTTTGCCATCTCGTCCAGAGATAGTGGAGTAAGTTTTACTTTTGTCGCGACGGAACGATAGTCGACTCACGTTCAGTTTCAGCACGATTCTCTGTCGAGTCTGTGCTGTATGATCAGGTGGGCGTCGAGAACCCGACTCGTGTTAGTTCCATATCTTTCTACCGTGTTTTCTATCTTCTTCTTTCGCTGCTTTCCTCCCTCCCCCCCTTAATTGCATCTCAACACAAAACATGATATGTACTGGACCTCGTGAATGCAAGCATAACTACAGTATTGTATACTATAGTGTAATGATGCTGCGAGTGTGTGTAAGAGTTTTTGAATTTTTTTATTTATTACACATTGTATTGAGCTTGAAAGAGCATTATTTCATTGTATTTCAAAATCGTGTTTCAAATATTATATTTATAATTTTCTGCCTTCGATTTTTATGTTCTTTAAGTGTAAATTATTACTAATAATCTGAATCAGGCGTGACTAGCATAATATATTGTTCGATGCAGTTTAAGATTACTTCATTTTAGATATAAATGTAAGTTATACAATAAGATCATATAACATAGTTTTGAAATTGTAAGCGAATCATTATTGTAACAATATATTGTAACAATAAGGTACTGCGAATGTCGAAGTTAAGATAAGAAATAAGAATATAAATTTTATTTATTGCAAGTCAAACTATGTTCTTAGAAGTATATAACTTCTAATTTTAGTTCAAGGATTCGTTATATCTACATATAAACGTGATTGTTATTCATGCAATCTTAATATTATTTACTTAACATAGGTATTAAATCTTACTGTTTGAGTAAGCTACTACTATTCAGATATAGACTGTAAATCGAATGCAGAGTTTTTATGTATAATACTGTCGAGTTTTTATACATATAAACTGTATCGCTTTAACATTTTTTTACAATCAGGAAAGTTGTAGGCAAAAACAAAGGAAAAATTATTATATCTTTTATCCGTACAACTGTTTACTTTTTGTAGAATATGAAAATATTGATTCATCAAGTTCTAAGCTAAAACATTAATAACGTTTGATTCTGAACTTTTTGCCTCTATCTCTATTAGCGAAAGCTAACATTACAAGGCTTCGTTAGTCTTTTTATAGATATACGAGGAAGGTTATATTATAGGATGGCAAAAAACTTGATGGACATAACGTTTATTATTTTTTGCTGGATAAATTAGTTGAGAGGAAAAGAGAGAAGAGCAAAATGACTTTATTTCCCAATATAAGAGAAATATGTAGTTTCCCATGGATTCCACACGATGGGTGGTGAATTAAAGATCAATTGGTTAATCCTTAATTCAGTGTAAGTAGCTCTCGTTCTCAGATGCAAGAAAATCTTGATAACGAGGACAGTAAAAGTTGTTGTTTTTCAATTGAAATTTTTGCTGTTTGAAACACGTATTTTTATGTCTTGAAACGTGTTTAAAATATTTTAAGACACGAGGGATAATTATATTTTCGATGTTGCAATTTGTCTCGCGTATTTTTTCATATTCTTCGTGTTAAAATTATTATTTATTTTCAAGGATTTTTATAAATTCGAGAAAGGTTAATTTTACTCGTCACGCTTTTGAAATTGTCGTACATAACTTCGTTTTAGTGTCTCGTGGTCCATCGACAACATTGAACGAAAGCATTCGGCCGAATAATTTTAAATTTAGATCTCTAAGCCGGCGTGAATAAATTTGTTTATGCCCTGGTTCGTTGCTCCCTGAGCAACTCCATGTGGCAAGCTCTTTAGTTTTAAGCAAATTCCACGAAATTTTCAAACGCTGATACGAAACTAAAAACTCACTACTTCAGACATCGTCTGTCTTCTGATCATTCTATAAATTGTTTCCGAGCCACACGCGTAAAAAATAGTCAAGGTTGAAACGTGCTTCACCGAACCTAACCTATACATAACCTAAACCATTCGTCTAGCTTCTCGGTTACGTAATCTTCTTCCCGTGGTGTTACAGTGAAAGCTACGTTCAATAGAAAAGTTTCTTGAACTCCGCAGGCCATTAAATTTAAATTGTCTGTAAATTAAACTCACGATAGTCAAGTGGAATTGAAAAATCGAAATTGAATGTTAAAGTCGATCCAGATGAAATTTAACGCTTAATCGTTAAGTGATGTCTCATTTACAATTTTTCTTTCCCAATCGATTTCTGTTGTCGAATTTTAGTTTCTAATCATCGATTGTCATTAATTACTTTGAGTTCTTTCGAGTTACTCGCAATTAACTGAGGGTTAAACCAATTTCTATAGAGCGATAGTAAAGCAATTAATATTTCAACATTACACGTTAAGCCTACATTTTTAATTTCTTGAATCGAGCTCTTCTAACAACAAACAAGAGTAAAATGATCGATGAGTAGAAACACTGATATTCATTCGGAGCGCAAACATTTGTTGGAACATTCATCATCCCGAAAATATTCGCTCGTTTGTGATTAATTAATTTTCGAGGAATTCATTGTTCAGACACACGGCCAAAGAAGAAACTGATCTTATCAAGCGAGTCGGTATCTTTCATACGCATCGTTCATTAAACGCATACTATGTATTAAAATACCAATGCGGTGTACATATGTACATACAATCTCGAGATAATGCAATTAATCTATCATACGCGTGATTTCCCGATTCGATGGAGAAAATAAAATGAAAGTCGGTATTAAGGCCGCGAGGGAACGAAGAGGAAGAAAACGATAATGATCTGTACGTACAGGGTACGCATAATTCATTTTACGTCGTATATCGTTGCACGTTCGGATCGTTCGATCGGCAGAATTTCAAAATGCTGATGAAGATTGATGACATTGATATTTGTACTTCCCGATGGGAATAAACGATACTCGACCAGCTTTTTCTTTCCGCCAAGGGAAAAAATGTATGTTGCGAATGCTTAACGTTCCGTGCGAAGCCATTTTTATTTTTTGTTGTCGTTCAGGACATTTGATATTTTGACTAAAGGTTGATATATCATCACACAGTCTTTCGTTACATCAACAATCGATAAGTACTTCTCTTGTTTAGAGTAGCTGTCACATCGTGTACCACCGGCGGTACACGTGGCGCTGCGATCAGTTCAGATTGCAAAAAATAAATGTGACTGCGTGTACCACCGGTGGTACACGTGGCGCTGCGATCAGTTCAGATTGCAAAAAATAAATGTGACTGCGTGTACCACCGGTGGTACACATGGCACGGAACGTGTTAACGATGTTCGTCAATCGTGGAAATTTCATTAAAGATCGATACTACTCGATTGAAGGATGAACAGAGGTCTGCGTAACGTTTATTTTAGCGTGTACGTCATATTGAAGTATTTAATTTCATTGTGGAGTATCATTCGGTTTTTTTTTTTTTATCATTCAATTGGTAGAAATTTGTAATCGGTAAAAGTGGCCGAATTTTTATTGGAATTGAAAATTATAGCGAGTCAAGACGGTAATGGTTTATTTGAGTTATTGTATTATATTCAATTATATTATATTATATATTATATTCAATTATATTATATTATATTATATTCAATTATATTCAATTCATTAGTTTATTAATTCATCACGAAGCAGAGTATTCTGAGAATAACATCGGCAGCAGTTGAGTACAAATTTTTTATTTATTAATACTCAATATTAATATTTAATATTTAATATTAATATATTAATATTTAATATT